AGGCTCCGAACAGGCGGCTCCGGGGCCTGGCTCTGACCGCGGGACCCCTCTGGCCCAGGCTGCGCTAGGCAGGCTGCTGTATATCCCATATCCCATCCTTAGGAACCTGCGTGGGGCGGGATGGAGGGCATGGGCCATGTTGTGTGGCCCTCTGGCTGCTGCCAGAAGCTCSAAGAAAGAGGCAACAGCCACGGCAATCCCGCAGACTCGGGCACGTGCGTGTGTGTGTGCGCACAGACCCCCCGGGCATTATGTGCAGAGCCCCAAAGATCACTTGTGGGTCACGAGGCCTGACAAACACGGTGGGGAAGGAGCCTCAGGGAGGGATGGGAATTCTAATGGGCAAGTGCGTAAACAGACTCGGAGGCAGGGAGAGGTGAGTAAATGCACACACATAAAAAGACGGGAAGAAGCACCCGTGAGCTGACGCGTGTGCAGGAGAAACAACAGGCACCGGAGCATTAGCCGTACCCAGGGAGCGAGGGGGGTGCAACCCGGCGACGAAAACACCCCGAGACTAACGCAGCTGCATGGAGACCCAGGCAGCTCCCCCCAAATGCCCTTGGGAGCACCTTGCGTGCCCGGGGCTCGCATGCGCTCCGAGGGCCTCCGCGGCTCCAAGGGCCTCCGCGGCTCGGAGGCGGCTGCCGAGGGAGGCCGCGCTGGGAAGCGGCCCCTGCCGCAGGCAGGTGCTGTCTCGCTCGGTGCACTTCAATCAGGAATGGCCGGGRCCGCGGCAGGGCCGTGCTTGGTGGCTGCAGCCCCCTCACCCTCCTCCCCATCCCGCAGGCTGCTCCATGCCCAGGAGGGCCCGGGCTTCCTTCGTGGTGCCAGGAGCGCGGGGGCTTCGAGACCCAGGCTGGGGCTGTCCCGCTTGGGCAGGCGCTGTGCGAAACGTGGCGGGAGAAGGGCAGCAGGGAAAGCGGGAGAAGGAACCCGGCTCTGGCGGGGCTCCGTCTCAGCAGGGAGGTGGAAGGAATCGTGGTGGGAGCCCCAGGAGGCTTGTGTCCTCGGGCACCTCCCTGATGGCAGCATYGCTGTCAACAAGGCCCGACGCGCAAATCGCGGGGAGGGAGCTGATGGAAGATTATTGATATAATCTGGCCGCTGTTAGCATGGCCATAAGCCATAACGAGATTTATTGATGCTCTGAAAAACCCATTAAGTCGTTTTGCGTCTTAATTTTTGAGGAGCGCTTGAGCTCCGTTGCCCTACGGCAGCCGATCCCGGGCCAACCAGCCTGGTATGCCAGGGCGCTGCTTCCCACTGGGAAGGCCGCCGTGCTGCCCATTCCTTAGCCTGTCCGGGCTGCGGGTGCGGAAGGAGGGCAAGGCCGTGTGACCTTGTGGCCGTGGCTGGATGTGGCGCCGGAGGAGCCCGGCCGCCGTGCGCGGCCCGTCCCCATCACCCGCGCCCRCGGGAGACGGCGGCAGGTCGGCTGCCGCTGCTAACCTGAGGCTAAATACAGACAGCAACATCTTCCGCAGCCTGTTCCTATTCCCTCAATGAATAGGTGCCGGTGATGTGCAATCTCCTCAATGAATTTCTGCCCGTTTCTTCTTCAAGTGCAGCGTGCCTGCGATTTTTCCTTTTTTTTTTTTTTTTTTTTTTTTCTCCCCTCTCCCCCTTGTTTTTCTTTCCTCCCTGCCCCTTGTCTCCTCACGCACTCGCAGCTGGGCACGTGTCCTCGGCGTGCAGAGCCCGGGAGCCCACGTGCTCCTTTCGGGCGCTYTTAGTTCCAGCTGCAAATGGAAACGGAGCCATTTCGGAGCGGGGCGGCCAGCACCTYGGCCCCGGTTAGTGCTCCTGGGCAGAGATGCCCGCCGTGGGGAATGGACTCTGGAAGGCGCTGCCGGTGTCCATAGGGGAGCCGGCTCCGGCTGCGCTGTCACAGTAAACACAGTTGTATCATCCTAAATGGGAACGATCTGGCTGCTGGAGCGACATGAGGGAAGGGAAGGGGAAAAGCAGAGCCAGCTGCCTCCGTCCCCTTTGGGTTCTTGGCCAAACAGGCGTGAGGTGCCGCTCATCTCCTTATATAAACGAGCGTGCGTTTGCCGGGCAGGGAGGGCCGCCCGAGCAGCGTGCGCGGCGTTGGCGGCGCCGGCCCCCGCGCCAGCCGTGGCGCGTGACGAGCGCAGC